AGAATCAAAAAAAGAAAAGGGACATTTTATGGCTATCAAGATTTAGAGGAAAAGGAAAAGACACTGTCAACAGAGCAGGACATGCATGAGATGATTAGCACAGAGCTGATATCTCTTCTGAGCTTAAAGCTTCCTCTTCGAGGTCACATCTGTGCACAGAGCCATTTTTGAATATCTGAAGGGACTAGAAGGATGGCGCTCAGCCACCTTGTAGGCAAATAGGGTAGCCGAAAGCCGTGAAAAAATAGTCAGCAATCCCCAAAACACCAGAGCAAAATTTAATCTGTGTTAACACTAAGCTATTTATAAGATATATTCTGGGTCTGGAAACCAGAGCAACACTTCTGGTGCAGAACACGTTTACTAATCACAGAAGCTAACGAAGTTGTAGAAAGTTAGTCATGAAAACGTCGGTTCTCTGGATGTAGAGAAACACACACATGCAGTATAGGTACAAGAGACATGTTCTGGTAAAGAGCAACAAGATGGAAAACTAAGTCACTTTGTTAACTTCTAACAAGACAAACATTACCACAAATGAGGAGGCCTGAACCCACAGAGATTGAATGAGATGGTGGTCAGAGTGAGCTACAGCCATGATAAGTTTTATCTCAGTTTCTATAAAACTGATTAATATTATCGACATTTATGTGTTTGCTCGTGTTGATTAGCTTCACTGGCCATATCAAAATACACCAGCGCACCACTTCCAGGAACTAGAAGTGAGCTACATAACGACTCAGCTTCAGATGGCAGATTTTGATATTTGGACATCTCGGAATGGATAACAGCGATGAGACTCTACCACTGGCTTGCAGCGTGGGTGTTTATCTCCACAAATAACACAATCCTGAAGGAGCTTCTGCTGTGTGGTGGGGTTGCTAATGCTAACAGTTAGCTTCTGCTAGCCGAAATATTCTCTGTTGTCTCCTGGACGCTAAACCAACAACAGCCTTCCTCGTCATGAGATGAGATGGGCGAGTCCGTGAATGTAATGTAGATCTGTCAGGCTTTTTAAATCCTCGAGTTTCAATGTCTATTTTCCATCGGAAGCAATTTTCGTGTTCAGCCTGTATGAAAAACTCAAGAGTGACCCATTACAATCAGAAATATTAATTCAAAAATGTTTTCTCTGTGTTTCACATCTTTAAAACTACTTTAGGCTCTTCTCAAAACACCAACACGTTAGCATCCCTGCAGTGGGACCAGACTGCTGCAGCTCAGCATCCACCAAGTGAGTCAGGGCCCTGTGACTCAGTATCATCTCAGCATAAGGTTGCCGTGACGATGACTGACAGATGAACAGGTGGGAGGGAAGAAGAGACGAGCTCCAACAGGATCTCAGCCCCTCTGAAAGCATTCTCGATGGCTAAACTTGCTTTTCTATAAGCTAACTCCCTTTTATTTCATTTTTCTACTTCTTCTTCCTGCCTACAAATGTTTACAGCAGCCCAACTGGACATTTTTGAGAGTAGCACCGCAAAGGTGATAGAGGCCTTGGAGGAGGAGCAGGAAACGACACAACGTCTCTCATATTTCAAACGATGGGAGTGACAAAGTCGGGCCGTTTTTTGTTGAGTTACAAAACAGGAAGAGGAACAGCATCGTTAAGGCGGGAAGCAGAATAAATGTGTCGTGATATTTCATTAAATTTAAAATTTCAGAGACGGAAAGTGAGCGCTGAGGCTTTTTCACAGCCAGGACTATTCATTTTAATCAGCAGCTGTGCAAATTTTGCTTTTAGGGGAAAACATCACGTAGATGGATAATCCCTTCTGGTTCAATAATGACATCCAAATGTAAAAATAAAACTGCAAAAAGAAAAAGATAGAAAGTCTATGAAGACAATGAGCTCTTTCAGACGAAGTCAAAAATGAGTACACGTTTAAAAAAAATAGTTTGTGGGTGCGTAGGACACAATCATCAACCACAAGAGCAGAAGCTCTCCTTGTGCACCCACAGGTTGAGAAATTGTGTGCATGCGTGCGTGTGCGTGTGTGTGTGTGCGCGCGCGTGTGTGTGTGTGTGTGTGTGTGTGTGTGTGTGTGTGTGTGTGTGTGTGTGTGTGTGTGTGTGTGTGAGAGAGACTTCCTCTGCTACATCAGAGACAGCCACTTCACAATGAAAGTGATAAACTGTCTTGTAAAAACGAGGTACTCGTAGTCCCCGGCAGCAAGATTAGCTCGTGGCTGCGAATGAAAGGAACGGCGCTTCCAGCAGACCGTAAATGGAAGGTGTGAAAAAAAAGGCCAGCCGCAGCGAGTTAGAGGAGCCCGTCCAGATGCGGTTCAGCTCATTTTCCAGTATCTCAGAGAGGGATCAGAAAGTCTGACGTTGCCTTGGAGGATGGGATGGAGGAGGGAGTGAAGCCATAACATCACTTACATGTCAGGGGCGATGAGACACTGCAAAGCTTCATCATATTTACACATCAATAAGAGTCTGTACTCGTAAAAACATCTTACTGCTGGCCCGTGCAACTAATTGTTGCTCTAAAAAAATTATATATATATATATATACACATACATACATACATACATATGTATATATATATAAATTTGCTTTGTGGCATGGTGTGGAAAGAATCATCTGACCTTGAACGTGCACAAAACAAAGGAGATGATTTTAGTCTTCAGAAGAAACAGGGTGGAGTCAAACACTGTTTCCATCATGGGAGAAGAAGTGGAGGTGGTTGAGGAATACAAATACCTTGGAGTTCACCTGGACAACAGACTGGACTGGAGAAAGAACAGCGAAGCCGTTTACAAGAAGGGACACAGCAGACTGCACTTCTTGAGGACGCTTAGGTCCTTCAATGTCTGTAGCAAGATGCTGCAGATCTTCTACAAGTCTGTTGTTGAGAGTGTAATCTCTTCAGCCATCGTCTGTTGGGGTAGCAGCATCAGAAGCAGGGACCTGAAAAGGCTCAACAGCCTAATAAAAAGGTTGGTTCTGTTCTGGGGACGACTGTGGAACCACTGGAGGAGATAATGCAAAGAAGGATTCTCCAGAGAATCAAGAAAATGATGGACAACCCTGAGCATTCTCTTCACAAGACTGTCCGACAACGGAAGAGTGTCTTCAGTCAGAGGCTTCTTCAGTTTCGCTGCAACACTGACCGCTACTGGAGATCCTTCCTGCCAACAGCCATTGTAATATACAACAACTCTTTGATGACTTGATCATTATTATTATTCTGAGCTACTACAGCAATCAATTTCCCTCTGGGATTAATAAAGTATATATATATATATATATATATATATATATATATATATATATATATATATATATATATATATATATATATATATATATATATATAGCAACAATGGCAGAACGAGAGCAAAACACAACTGCAGCACTGTTTTCCATATTTATTTCATTTCACTGATTAAAGAATTAATTCTATTTAATTGGTGCTTGTGTGTTTTATGGATTTTTAGGGAAACGTTTAAATGAATCTTATCCTAAATAAAACTAATTCAATGTGCTTTATGGTACTTGATGTAATTTTCATGAAAATGTTTTTATTTTATACTCATATGGTTTTGATCACCTCTAAACTGCACAATTCTGGCACCCATCAATGTAAACCCATGTCTGCAGTCTCCTTAACATGTGAACTAATCATTAGAAATAAGCCAAAACAAAAAAATCCCTCGTCTTTCCCAAATATCCAGAGGCTGGGTGGAAAAGTGCTGCAGGATTGCGGAGGAGTGTTATTTCTTAGTTGGACATCCAGTAGATCATGTCATTTTCTTCCCCTCCTTTTTCACCAGCTCATGCCCAAACACTGAGCTCAGAGGAGAGCTTGTCTGTTGACATGTTTGAAGTTAATGATTCTGGTGATAATCACATCCTGCTACCTAGACGACTCCCATGGAGAGAGGTCAGCAATCGGCCCGCCTGAACAGATGCTCCGTGGAACAGAACAGACAGGCTCACATGCAGGTATTGCTTCATCTATAAAGGGGATGGAAGCAGTGGTGCATCACTGCAACAACATGCAGTGAAATGAATAACTGCATCCAATCCTGGTGATATATGTATTTCTATTTTATTTTCCAGCTCGTGCCGTGGCAGTGGATGACTCCAAAGCTGAGCACACAGAGAAGGGAAGAGGGTATTCCCTCCCCTCCAGCGTTTGTCTGCAGGGTGCTCACACGAGGCAGGAAGTTCACGGCTAAAAGCGAAAGAGATGTTATCTGTGGTAAGACGTTGCTTCTTTTTCCCATGAAGTCATTATGAGCCCTGGGTGGCTGGCCTGCAACAAAAGGGCTACTGTTCCACGGGCACAATGTGCCACTCTGCTCCACACATGCAAATGAACGGCCATGTAGGAGAGAAGGTGTGCTGATGTCAGGATGGAGCTGAATGTGAGAACACTCCACCAACAGCAGCAGCATCACGTACAGGAAATGAAGTCAAGCTTCACCTACAGAAACTGTTCTCGGCTGCAGATCCCAGAGGCGCAGCACACCGACTTCCTTTTTATTTTTTAAATCGTGTAATGTGACCTGTAAAGTACACGCCACGCTGAAAGTGAAAACAGGTTGTTCAAGATTGTCTGTTTCACCATCTAAACCATTTGATGGTCGGTCTTCCACCCTGGTAGCCGGAGGCAGCCTGCTCTGCACTTCCTGATCTCAGCAATGACAGCCTGTTGTCACACCTTAACACTGCTGCACACACCTGGGGTGCAGAGGGGTCCTGTCAAGAGTAGGTGTGCTTCAGCAGCTGTCCGAGACCAATCCTGCAGTAGGCTGAAGTTTACTGAACATCTCATCCAGATGTTTTAACTTCAGCCACTGAATAACATTCAGCAAAGGCATCAATGAATGCACCACTTCTACTTGCGCCTGAGGGAGTTTTTTTCTGTCGGGCACGACCTGCCTCAGCTTGAAACAAAACGACAGTTGAGGGATTTCCTAGCGAGTGAATCGATCCAGGCTATAATAGTACACCTTTGTAGCTGGAATGAAGGAACTAGACTCACCGTTCGGTCCATATTTGTCCAAACTGACTCTGACCTGCTCCAGAGTCAGCCCAGTGTTCTCGTTCACGCCGAAGTTGTCCAAAACTTCAGTCGCAGACTTAGTGTGCGCATTTTCCATCTTGGATAACTTAGACGAGCGGATAGAAATGCATGTAGTTGGGTAACATCTACCGGGAAGGTGCGCGCGGGTCGGCTGGGTGGGTGGCCGAGGGGAGGACGGGGGGGGGCGGGGGTGGAACGCTGGTGATCTCCCCCCGGTGAAGGCGCTCAGGCGGTCGGCGTTGCTCTGTCACCTGCTCCCCCCGGTGAAGGCAAAGAAAAAGAAACGTCCGCTGTTCCGGCGCTGCGTCCGTCCGTCTGCAGCTGCTGCTACTTCATCCCCACCTGAGGGTGTGCTGTGTGTGCGCGCGCCACCACACCACCTCCCGCCGCTGAGCCCTCCCCTCCCGCGCCCCCATTGGCCGGGCGTACCTGAGCTCTGGGTCTCGCTGCCTCCCGCAGCCACTTCAAAACACTAAACGTTAGCCGAACATGACACATCAGGATAAACGTCATGCTGTCTTTTAGGTGCAATGTCAACCGCCGAGCTTCAAGACCCACTTTTAGAGGCACGATTAGTGAAGTCTGTGCGTCAGTAGTTATGTGGGAACGTTGTTTTTGTCCTCCAGAGAGAAAGGGGGCCGGTGTCGTGAATTAAGTGCCCCCGCCGTGTGATTTTCCTGTGTACGCGAGTGAGTGTTCCTTTTCAAGTTATCTCATTGGGCAGTTTTAATGGGTACAGACAGTTAAATAATCACAAACACGTCTTAATCATGTTGGAAGGAGGTAACATTGAAACCTGAGTCAGTTTTTCTCCTTTTAAAAAGGCCAAAGAGGGATGTAATCTGTTTACCATCAGTGTGTCCCGGGATTCCCCAAGTCTGCGCGAACTGGACAGACAGCCAGGTTTGTGGCTACAACCAAAACAAGCATGGCGTCAATAGAAGAGATCAGTAACTGATTAATTCTGAGATCACACAGAAAAAAAGACAGTAGCAGTACCATAGACAGTGGCGGATTTAGCAATTTGGGGTCCCAAGGGGAACACAGACAAGGGGCCCCTTACACTAAATTTTTGACAATCTTACCTTTAACTGGATTTACAAAACTCTCCCCTCTTCTGACATGAGTTATTTCCCCTTTGTATTAGTTCTCCTCTTTTTTCCTGTATTTCCCTCCCTTTGAGCGCTTTCAATATTTGCTCTGCTTTCTTTTTTCTGTCAGTGCTCCTGTGCTTTTGCCTTTGTTTTTTTTTTTCATTTTGGTCCACGTTTTCCTCCCTTTAAACATTTTCCATTGTCTTTCCTTTCTGCTTCCTTTTGATGTTTACATCGAAAAACAACTTCACTTTCAGAAGTGAAAATAAAAGCTTTTATGAAGCAAGCTGCTTCTTTCTCTTATTGGAGCCACTAGGATAACTTCATGTCATGCTTAATGTTTTGACTATCGCTTTGAGTTTGTTACGAACGCTCCCGCCTCTCTTCTTATTTTTCTGCATTCTCTTCTTTTTATTTGTGGTCTTACTTGGCAAACAACAATTTGGTGCATTACCGCCACCAACTGGATTGGAGTGAAATGGCTTCCTGTTTGTGCATCGCCGTCTTAATAACCCTTTTATGACCATAATTATAACAGGGCTGCCTGGTATTTTTTTTATCTCATGGCTGTAAAATTGTAATAAAAAGTGCAAAGTGTGTGTAACTCTTCTCCTTTTTTTCAGAACAACCTCAACTTTCAGTGCATGGTTTGCATTTAGGATTTATTTCTATTAAAGCCTTTAACAATCAGCTTGAAAGTGAAAACAGCAAAAAAAAAACAGATTTGAATTTTTTTACATTTATTACTGAACAGGAACTTCAAAATTACCGGGCAAACAATTTGGAATGAACAATTTAAACTTTGAACTGAAATGCATCTATTCTTAAAACAGTTTGAACCTTGGTATCTTTTTTATAGCAGTTTTAAGACCATTTATTTTTGTAAACTTTCAGATGTTTTTATTTGATGTGGTAGACCTTGAAGCAGTTTCTCTCCAGCTGCAGGCAGAGTGCTGCACACCTCACGCTGCCATGGGGTGCTTCTCTTGCACACCGTGCACTGCTATACCCAGGGCCAGATTAAGACTTTGTTGTACCCTGGGCAACAATATTCAAGGGCCCCATCATCACGACTCAAGGATCACCATAATATGGTCACATACAGAATATTTTACTGTAATATGCAGTAAATTTACTCAATACTTGAATGCCTGACATCACGTAACCCACTCAGGGTAACCTTTGACACACCTCGTGTGGACTGACCAATGAGGAGAGGGTCTTAACTTGAGGCCCTCTCTTCATTGGTCAGTCTGCATGAGACTGACTCTGAACTGACGTTCAGTCATAGGCAGCGAAGCGTCTCTGTGCAGCGCAAAAGCTCGGGTGGACAGTTTTTGTAGTATAGGGTGACCATATTTCCATTTCCAAAAAAGAGGACAGGGTATCTGTGCCTATGACATCACACTATGGCAACGCCACACAAACCATGTTGGGACCCATTTTTTTTTGTAAGAACTAAATTAATATCAGATTCTGCCAATAAAAGGTCTCCAAAACAATTCATATGTAAATGTTTAGCATATGCACTGCAAAATCTAATTGTTCTGCTTTAATGCTGCAACAAGGTTTTATTAATAATAAATTATTATACCTTTTGTTTTACGACAGCATCGGTAAGCCTCCTGTGCTCAGATTATTAAGGATGCTTATTTCAGCTGTGAGATTAGACGATAGGATCAATGAAAAAATAAGTTGTCACACACTCCATGGAAACTTTCGGAGAATCCACAAATAGTGGCTTTCAAATGGTTTTGTTACTTTTTGCAAGTTTAGAAAAGCAGCAGATGAGACAGCATGTCTGATCATTTAGTTTTTCATCTGATAACATGTCAGCGAAGTCTGAGGAGCTTTTATAAACACTGTATAACTAATACTCCTGGAGAGGGTATGAATTACACAAAGGCTTCGGGGAGCCCAGTTATGGGGGGTGGGGGGTATGGGAGGGGGTAATTTAGCCTTGGACCCCAGAATGTCTTGAAACGGCCCTGGGTGTGTGACTGAGCTTTGAAGGTGATCTGAACTGCATCAGATGTATAATTATTACATGTGTATAACTTATTGTTTTGTACAGACAAAAACGTGTAGTGGAGATAAATCTACCTACATTTTACTTTTCAACACTTAGTTTTGTTTTCTTGTTTTTATTTAACTATTTTCCTGTCCTGTCGGTCTCTCATCTTCCTGCATCTCCTCTAAACTCTCCAGAAAAACTGCTTCCTGGATTCTTACTTTTTCACCTCATCAGTTACTTTGAGCAGATCAAAGGGATCTCCTGACCGCAAAGCGGAGTGCGCGTTTCGATGCTGCGTCAGTGAGGTGAAATCACTGCAGCACAGGTGATGAGCTCCGCAGTAGCAGAGCGCTTCAGGCACAAATAAGACAGAAAGTAGAGAACATGTGCGGACATGAACGATCGTGTGTTAATTATAGTTTATTTGGCTGCGCCACTTTGAGAATGGACCGTGTGCTGGAAGCAGCTGCCTGCGCTGCGCAACAACGCAGCGCTGTGCCGCTCTCTGTGCTCTCTGCTCAAAAGAGTCCATAAATGAAGTAATATAGGTAGAAAACTTTTTTCCGGCTCCCCTGGATGTGTAGGATATCCAGCTCCCCCATAATTCGATCCCTGCTCCTGGATGAAAAGCCGAACATTTTCATCATTACAAGAACCCGAAGCCCGGACGCCCGGACAGAGAGTGAAAAGTGGACATGTCCGGGGGAAACAGGACGGTCACACTAGTTTACTATAAAGCGGGAGATTACAGTTACAGTACTTTGCTCGTGCCCTTGCTGCCCTGGGCCCTTTAGAGTTCGTGGGCCCTGAGCAATTGCCCAGTTGCCCATATGGTTAATCCGGCCTTGGCTATACCAAAAACTTTTGTTTTAGCAAAAGTTATTTATTGTAAATGCTGGAATGAAGCTGAATATTACAGTTAGCAAATAGTTTAGGGTTGTTCAAATAAAAAAAATAAATAAAGACTGAACAAACATTCATACCCTGGTTCACTGGAGATCTGTCCTTCTTTCTGGTCACTGTCTTCCGATATACAGTGGGGCAAAAAAGTATTTAGTCAGCCACCTATTGTGCAAGTTCTCCCACTTAAAATGATGACAGAGGTCAGTAACTGTGAGAGACAGAATGTGAAAAATAATCCATGAATTCACATGGCAGGATTTTTAAAAAAATTATTTGTATATCAGGGTGGAAAATAAGTATTTGGTCAATAACAAAAATTCAACTCAATACTTTGTAACATAACCTTTGTTGGCAATTACAGAGGTCAAACGATTACTATAGGTCTTTACCAGGTTTGCACACACAGTAGCTGGTATTTTGGCCCATTCCTCCATGCAGATCTTCTCGAGAGCAATGATGTTTTGGGGCTGTCGCCGAGCAACACGGACTTTCAACTCCCTCCACAGATTTTCTATGGGGTTGAGGGCTGGAGACTGGCTAGGCCACTCCAGGACTTTCAATTGCTTCTTACGGAGTCACTCCTTTGTTGCCCGGGCGGTGTGTTTGGGATCATTGTCGTGTTGGAAGACCCAGCCACGTTTCATCTTCAAAGCTCTCACTGATGGAAGGAGGTTTTGGCTCAGAATCTCACGATACATGGCCCCATTCATTCTTTCCTTAACACGGATCAGTCGTCCTGTCCCCTTAGCAGAAAAACAGCCCCAAAGCATGATGTTCCCACCCCCATGCTTCACAGTAGGTATGGTGCTCTTGGGATGCAACTCAGTATTCTTCTTCCTCCAAACACGACAAGTTGAGTTTATACCAAAAAGTTCTACTTTGGTTTCATCTGACCACATGACATTCTCCCAATCCTCTGCTGTATCATCCATGTGCTCTCTGGCAAACTTCAGAAGGGCCTGGACATGCACTGGCTTCAGCAGCGGAACACGTCTGGCACAGCAGGATTTGAGTCCCTGCCGTTGTAGTGTTACTGATGGTGACCTTTGTTACTGTGGTCCCAGCTCTCTGCAGGTCATTCAACAGGTCCCCCCGTGTGGTTCTGGGATTCTTGCTCACCGTTCTCATGATCATTTTGACCCCACGGGATGAGATCTTGCGTGGAGCCCCAGATCGAGGGAGATTATCAGTGGTCCTGTATGTCTTCCATTTTCTGATAATTGCTCCCACAGTTGATTTTTTCACACCAAGCTACTTGCCTATTGTAGATGCACTCTTCCTAGTCTGGTGCAGGTCTACAATTCTTTTCCTGGTGTCCTTCGAAAGCTCTTTGGTCTTGGCCATAGTGGAGT